TATAGACTATTCTATAGTCCAGACTATAGACTATTCTATAGTCCAGACTATAGACTATTCTATAGTCCAGACTATAGACTATTCTATAGTCCAGACTATAGACTATTCTATAGTCCAGACTATAGACTATTCTATAGTCCAGACTATAGACTATTCTACAGTCCAGACTATAGACTATTCTATAGTCCACACTATAGACTATTATATAGTCCAGACTATTGAATATTCTATAGTCCAGACTATAGACTATTCTATAGTCCAGAATATAGACTATTCTATAGTCCAGACTATAAACTATTCTATAGTCCAGACTATAGACTATTCTATAGTCCAGACTATAGACTATTCTATAGTCCAGACTATAGACTATTCTATAGTCCAGACTATAGACTATTCTATAGTCCAGACTATAGACTATTCTATAGTCCAGACTATAGACTATTCTATAGTCAGGAATATAGACTATTCTATAGTCCAGAATATAGACTATTCTATAGTCCAGATATAGAGCATTCTATAGTCCAGACTATAGAGCATCTATTTTAGAATATTCTATAGTCCAGACTATAGACTATTCTATAGTCCAGACTATAGACTATTCTATAGTCCAGACTATAGACTATTCTATTGTTCAGACTATAGACTATTATACAGTCCAGACTATAGACTATTCTATTGTTCAGACTATAGACTATATACAGTCCAGACTATAGACTATTCTATAGTCCAGACTATAGACTACTCTATAGTCCAGATTATAGACTACTCTATAGTCCAGACTATAGACTACTCTATAGTCCAGACTATAGGGTACTCTATAGTCCAGACTATAGGCTACTCTATAGTCCAGACTATAGACTACTCTATAGTCCAGACTATAGGCTACTCTATAGTGCAGACTATAGGCTACTCTATAGTCCAGACTATAGATTACTCTATAGTCCAGAGTATAGACTAATCTATAGTCCAGAGTATAGACTAATCTATAGTCTACACTATAGACTATTCTATGGTCCACATTATAGACCTATTCTATTGTTTCGATTATAAACTATTCGATATTCCAAACTTTTATATAGTAATTTTTTTCGCCTCTTAAAACCAAACCAAAATATTTTCAAATTAATCATTTAATAATCTAACAATATAATCAGGGTCTCGTTAGTGGTTAAACATTCTGATGACGAATGACAATGTGAATTCTGTTGTTGGCCCATAACATTGTCACTTGTACCCCTTTTAATATGACTGATATGCAACAAAACATGTAGTAGCTTGTAGTTAAGTAATAAATAATTTTCAATTTATATTTAATAAAACAAGAGATTTATCAACATATGTTATAACTATATTTATTTTTTGATTAACATCTGCCATGTGTCCCAAATATACAAATATACTTCGTACAAGTACTAATAACTCTGATGATAAACTATAAATTAGATTAGAAATATGTTATCGAGCGATACACGAACGTAAAAATAAGTCTAATTATAGATATGATTGCAAAACAGCTTGCAGTCTCGAAAGTCTACTGTATAGAATATAGATTAATATATAGTCTGGACAATAGAATAATATATAGCCTTGAGTATAAAATAGTCTATATCCTGGACTATAGAATAGTCTATAGTCTGGACTATAGAAAAGTCTATAGTCTTGAGTATAAAATAGTCTATAGCCTGGACTATAGAATAGTCTCTAGTCTGAACTATAGAATAGTCTATAGTCTGGACTATAGATTAGTCTATGGTCTGAACTATAGATTAGTCTATAGTCTGGACTATAGAATAGTCTATAGTCTGGACTATAGAATAGTCTATAGTCTGGACTATAGAATAGTCTATAGTCTGGACTATAGAATAGTCTATAGTCTGGACTATAGAATAGTCTATAGTCTGGACTATAGAATAGTCTATAGTCTGGACTATAGAATAGTCTATAGTCTGGACTATAGAACAGTCTATAGTCTGGACTATAGAATAGTCTACAGTCTGGACTATAGAATAGTTATAGTCTGGACTATAGAATACTCTATAGTCTGGACTATAGAATACTCTATAGTGTGGACTATAGAATAGTCTATCGTCTGGACTATAGAATAGTGTACAGTCTGGACTATAGAATAGCCTCTAGTCTGGACTATAGAACAGTCTATAGTCTGGACTATAGAATCGTTTATAGTCTGGACTATAGAATCGTTTATAGTCTGGACTATAGAATAGTCAATAGTCTATAGTCTGGACTATAGAATAGTCTATAGTCTGGACTATAGAATAGTCTATAGTCTGGACTATAGAATAGTCTATAGTCTGAACTATAGAATAGTCTGTTAGTCTGAACTATAGAATAGTCTATAGTCTGAACTATAGAATAGTCTATAGTCTGGACTATAGAATAGTCTATGGTCTGGACCATAGAATAGTCTATAGTCTGAACTATATAATAGTCTATAGTATGGACTATAGTCTGGACTATAGAATTATCAATAGTCTGGACTATATAATAGTCTATAGTCTGGGACTATAGAATAGTCTATAGTCTGGACTATAGAATAGTGTATAGTCTGGTCTATAGAATAGTCTATAGTCTGGCTATAGAATAGTCTATAGTCTGGACTATATAATAGCCTATAGTCTGGGCTATAGAATAGTCTATAGTCTGGACTATAGAATAGTGTATAGTCTGGACTATAGAGTAGCCTATAGTCTGGACTATAGAACAGTCTATAGTCTGGACTATAGAGTAGCCTATAGTCTGGACTATAGAACAGTCTATAGTCTGGACTATAGAACAGTCTATAGTCTGGACTATAGAATAGTCTATAGTCTGGACTATAGAATCTATAGTCTGGACTATAGAATAGTCTATAGTCTGGAACTATAGAATAGTCTGTAGTCTGAACTATAGAATAGTCTATAGTCTGAACTATAGAATAGTCTATAGTCTGGACTATAGAATAGTCTATGGTCTGGACCATAGAATGTCTATAGTCTGAACTATATAATAGTCTATAGTATGGACTATAAAATAGTCTGTAGTCTGGACTATAGAATAGTCTGGACTATAGAAAAGTCTATTGTCTGGACTATAGAATAGTCTCTGGTCTGGACTATAGAATAGTCTATAGTCTGGACTATAGAATGATCTATAGTTTGCACTATAGAATAGCCTATAGTTTGTACTATATAATAGTATTATATCTACATTACAAAACAGTCTGTAATCTGTACCACAGAATATTTTATAATTTCGTTTACCAAATATTCTATAGTTTCGACTTATCAGTCGAGAGGTGCCAACTTGCGACTGTATTTTGTAACAAAAAAATAAACAACAACCTTTAATATTAATAAAATATTTTAATTGTTTAAGTTAAACTAAAAATTGAGCATGTTAATGTTTAAACAATTTCGTCAGACAATACATTCGTTCATGATCTACAAGTTCAAGTGTAGCTGAGTAAAATTTTACTAAACCGTCGTCTTGTCTATTAATTTGACTGCTATTGCCTCACCAAACCTCACCGGCCATAAAGTATTTATGTAATTGTTGTTTAAAATTGAAACCCCCTTCTAAATTAGTCTTTTTGTTTAAATTGTGTAAAAAGGTCATGAGTTTATGAACATATAATTTTTACATAATTTAAACCATAACCCTAAAAGTGGTCAACTAAAGGTTGGGTTCTTTAAGGAAGGGACCGTTGAAAATGGTTTCTGTTTATTATATTGGAGGAGCCAATTCAGCTTAGCTGAATTATATTTTTTATTAAATATTTTCCTAATTTAGTGTTATTTATTAATAATTTTAGCTTAAAAACTCTATTCAGCTAAGCTGAATAGCATTAGTCTTATTTTCAGCAAATCAAATTATCTAAATTGTTAAAATTTATGCAAATTTCTTTAATAAAAATTATATTCAGCTAAGCTGAATTGTATTTATTTTAGATATTTCTCTAAAATTTCTTTATATCATTACTAATTATTAATAAGTCTAGCATAAAAACTCTATACAGCTTAGCCGAATTATATTTGAAAAATAATTATTGATTAAAACATTTACAAATTATCTTTTAACAACCCAATTCAGCTAAGCTGAATTACGTTTTTACGATTTTTTTTCCAAAATGTTTACTACATTCCTTAAATTTATTAATAATTCCATTAATAGAGCTCTATTCAGCTAAGCTGAATTGTATTTTGAAGCAATTTTTTAATAAAGCATTAGCGAAATTGCATTGTAGCTTAATTCAGCTAGGCTGAATAACATTTATTTGAAATGTTTATTTAAGATTTGACCAAATTTGTAAATTTTATTAATAATTCTAACATAAAAACTCTATTCAGCTGAGCTGAATTGTATTTTTATTGAATATATCTCTTGGATTGTAATAAATTATTAATATTTATTAATAATTCAAGCATAAAAATTCTATTCAGCTAAGCTGAATTACTTTTGAGTTAATTGTTTTAAAGCATCTTAACGAAATTCTTAAGTTTTTTAAAATTTATTTTATAAAAACTGATTCAGCTAAGCTGAATTTAATTAAAATGACTCAATTATAGTCATTTACCTACAACTATTGGTTAACTGACAGCAGCTGTCAAAACATAATCGACAACATAACAAACAGTTAAATGTATTTCTTTCTTTTTATTTTCTTTTTGTTTTTTATGTACTTTGTCCTTGAACTGAATTTTACCTTATCTAAGTTAACTTGATATTCTTTGTCACCCTTTATTTATCACTCATTTTCTTATCACAACTTGCTGCTGACTTAAAGACAAGTTAAGAGAGCAAAATTTTATAACAAAAAAACTTTAAAAGTATTTCAAGGTAGGAACAAAAAACAACAAAGAAAATCTAGTTTCAAATCAGAACTCCATATCAAAAATTTCCCGAGATATCCAGCAGAACCCCGGGATTGCATAAAATAACAAAAATTCTTGTTTTCAATAAATTCTTTATGATTTCACTTAAAACTTAAAATAATTTTTTACCTAAATTGTATATAAGTTGAGAAATACTGCGTCTATGTCGTGGTAATTCGCGCAGGCGGCAGCCATCATTATCGGCCTCGTTATCATAATTATTATTATTATTCGCCATTCTTGTTTTTTTTTAAAGATATTTCTTTAAATTTTTGGTTAACTTTTTTTTGGTATTTTTTTAAACACTTATGCACAACATTTCTTAATACTTTTACAAATTTCTTTTATAATTTTCATATATGATATTTTGGTTTAAATTTGGCCTTAATGGTTATTTCTTTTGGTCAACAAAAACGAAAAAAAAACCCGAAAAATTTCACTTCTGCTTAAAACAACAACACAAAATTTATGTTAAAAGAATTTACCAAGAAAACGTTTTAATAATTTTAAATAATTTAAAAAACTTTTTTCCATTAAATATACTTTTATAAAAACTAAATCAGACGACTGGACTATAAAGTGATCCATAGTCTGAACTATAGACTGGACTAGAAAATGGTCCTCAGTCTTGACTACAGAATACTTTATATTCTGTACTACAGACTGAACTATAGATTGATCTACAGTCTGAACTAATGATTAATTTACAGTCTGGGCTATAGACTGATCTATAGTCTGGACTATAGGCTGATATATTGTCTAAACTAAAGATTGATCTATTGTCTGGACTATAGA